AGAAACTGGCTACATTTCTTTGGGGTCTTTTTACCCTAACTGCCTAGCCAATTCCTACCTCCTATTCTTATCATGTCATCCTCTAGAGGGGTTACCCAAATTGCCAATAGGGAATAGGGACAGCAACCTCTCTGGCTTCTTCCATGCTGAACAGGGATGCAGGTTTTTTATGTGTATGAGTATTTTACTTGCATATATGTCCATGAAACGCCCTTGGAGGCCAGAAGAGCTTGTCATATTCCCTGGAACTGGAGTTATGGGTGATTGTTAGGTTCCATATGGGTACTGAGAACCAAACCTGGGTCCTCTGAAAGAACAGCAAGTCCTCTTAACCACTGGGCCATTTCTCCAGCTCTATTCCTGATCTTTTTATACTGGTGTTTGGGGATCAAACTCAGGTCCTCATTCACATGGTAATTACTTTACTGACTGAACTGTCTCCCAGTCCAGACCATACAGATTTTTGATGGCCTGTTGTGCTATACTTGTTTTTACAGCTGCCAAGATTTTGGTTACTGGTAATTAATTTAGATATTGGTGAATATTCATTGTTGTTGTTGTTGTTGTTGTTGTTGTTGTTGTTGTTCTTCTTCTTCTTCTTCCTCCTCCTCCTCCTCCTTCTCCCCTCCTCCTCTTCCTCCTCCTCCTCCTCCTCGTCATTGGTGATGTTTCTGGTATCGATAGGTGATCTCATCCTTTTGGAGTGGGTGTTTGGATCTCTGTTTGCTGTTTCCCTAACTTGTCAAGTTTGGGCCCAGCTGAGTGGTGCTTGGTGTTCTTCTTCTTCTTCTTCTTCTTCTTCTTCTTCTTCTTCTTCCTCTTCTTCTTCTTCTTCTTTTTGAGGTAGGATTTCCCTGTAACCACAGTTGGCCTGGAACTCACTATGCAGACCAAACTGGCCTTGTTCTCACAGAGATTCACACACCTCTACTTCCTGAGTGTTGGGATTAAAGGCATGTGCCACCACAATTGGCTGAACATTTATTTTTCAGAATACTTTCTGATTGTTATATTGCCTTGTATTTGCTTGTATTTGATTATTAAATACTTAGAAGTCATATAAAAACATCTTTATTTGTAACCAAAATTACTTTAAGTGTTTTCTCTGATTTTTTTTTCTCCCCTGGGACTGAGGAGGGATGATTTTTCTACTGAAATGAAAGCATTGAGATTTGGATGATAATTAAGAGGCAATACTCATGGGCAGGAGGCTCTTTTACCAGAGACTACCAGTTCCACACAAAGTAAAAAAAAAAAAATCACCCACAGATTCTAAACAGCAAATTGTACTATGGCCTTGTGCAATTCAGGTCTAAAGATTAACATCTGAGCCTGAGGTTTCCTGAAAATTTGTAGATATACTATCCTATCTCCTGTTATTTTTCCTTAACTCATAAATTTGTAAACACTTTTACTGACTTTAATCTTAAGAGAAGATAGAAGTAAATAAATGTAAACGTCATTTTTATCATATTAAAATGGAAGATGGGATTCCTGATGTTCTAGAATTGTGCCATTCTCAGAGTGGTACCGTCAACTATAATGTTGAACCATAAGAAGACAAGAAGAAAACACCTTTTCTGCCTATCTTTGTGTGGTTCTACTTCACAGAAGAAAGCTGAAGTTCCCCCAGAAGACCAAATGTCTTTATTTTCAAATATAAGAATCTATTCACATTCCAAAATTAAAAATATATTATAAATCACCTTGAAGTTTATTTATCTACTTTATTGTGATTGTTATTGACAGTATAACTAGCTGTTTATACTTAGATGATATGATTCCCAAAAAATATAGGAGCTCAATTTTAAATTAATTTTCCCTTTAAAATGCTTTTTCTATAATCAGAATGCAGAAAAATGAGCAGAAAAAAAATAAAAAAAACGCAAACCACACACACACACACACACACACACACACACACACACACACAAATGTTGGCACCCTCAGTAAAGGCTAATAGAATAAAATAATCCTATCACCTCCTGTCCTCTATCTACAACACACTTACACACTTGATAAAGTTTTCAAATCCTACTATAAATGTAACACACACACACACACCACACACACCCCAAAGCTCCATCTTTTCAATTTCCCAGCTGCCTCTCCTCTTGATCCCCCAATACTTTGTACCACAATATATCAGCTGCCACGATCCACAAAGATCTGCTTATCATTTTCCAAAGAATGAGTTGGTGAAGCCAACATAGTCATAGCCAGCAGGCTGGCTTCGACCTCGGGGGTCCGTGTATTGCTGCATATGTATGGTGCAGAATGACACTTGTTCTGGGGTTAGAGCCTAGAAAGAATAAAAAGAGAGATACAGTTACAGAGAGTCAACCATCACTGGTTTCATGGGGCTTCCAGTCTTTGAAATACAGGATGTGGAGAAGCAAGCCTTGTTCCTACCACTCTCTTTTCTCGTAATTTATTTAAATATAAAAATAAGTCAGATTTTTTAACTTTGTTCTTTCTGTCTTTCTTTTCATACAAAGTATTAGATTTCAATACGGTATTTTTAAAATGTAATTTCTTTCTGTTGAGCTCGCTCTCCCTTCTTCATTTCCAGCACCTTCCTGACTACCTCTGCCCCTTCTCTTCCCAGTGGTCCTTGCCCCATTTTTGTGTGACATTTTCTCTGAGTCCCCACCTCTTATTATAAACCTCTTTTTCCTCTCATGTGATTCCTCTCTAGTTTGCTGGGAATATCCCCTCTCACACCCATTTAAATACATGCATACAGATATTGGCATTTATAATCTGTATCTGAGAAAGCCTGTGCAATATGTGTCTTTCTGAGCCTGAGTTACCTACTTAATATAATAACTTCCAATTCTGTCCGTTTTATGCAAGCTTAATGATTTGGTTTTACTTTATGCCTCAATAAAACTCCACTGTGTGTATGCATTTCCCAAATTTGTCTTATTAATCAGAAAAGAAAAGAATATTGCCTTAAAATCTCAGTCACAGGTTTCTAATTGACTTCAATAGTCAATAGAAAGCCAGTATAGGTTTTTGAACTGGAACAAGATGAGATGATTGGATTAAAACAAAACATATCTGGTGAAAAGGAATCTGAAGAAATACAGTCGGTATGTGGGTGGAGGCTTTTGAAGTAGATAACCAAGGCCAAGATGGCCCAAACCGGGTTCTGATGATAGCACAGGGGCAGAAGCCATGGGACTCTGACCTGCTTCATGTCCTCTTTGGTAATATAAGCCTTGCCCTCCGCCAGGGCTTGGAAGCCACTCTCTATGTCATCACTGGTCTTGATGTTCTCTGACTCCTTGTCAATCAGGAATGATGTGTAATCCTCCAGAGAGACATAGCCCTTCCTGTGGGGAAAGAAAGCAGGAGCTGTGCCTTCCCAAGTCAAGGAAGGTGCATCCCTTCTATCCTGTGCTGTGCTTTGTGGCAGAGGGACGCCGGATTCTCCATGTTTTTCTTGCAAATAAGCTGTCTAGTTCTCTGGTTCTTCTCTCACCTCTGACCTCATTAACCTCTGTAGACAAGTAACCAGTCTCCTAGAAGCCAGACTGCACACACACACACACACACACACACACACACACACACACACACACAGGTGTCAGTAGTCAGGCTTCTTTATATACTTTTGGAATTTCCCATCAGTGGGAGTGCCCAGATAGTAACCACTGCTCTTCCTTCATCTTTAAAATTAGAAAGAATTAGGGTCTTCCTAACAGTAACTTGAGCTGTATATTGTTCTATCATATCCTATGCAAGCACACAGGACCCCATCTTTACATGTGGCCTTGAATATTAATTTCACTCTAAGATCTCGTATACATGAGAGGATTCTTCTCTTGAGTCCTACGCTCAGAAGCAGCTGAAATGTATACCACCAAACATAAATATCAGCTGAGCAAACGACAGAGCTGCGGGCTAGGTTGGAGCCAGTGCCATTTACTTCTGAGCTAATATTGAAAAAATAGAGCTTCACAATTCATTTATAGTTGTCTGCATCTTCTTATGTTCAAATGAGTTAGTTTGGGGTTTTATGGACCTTCTACTCTGTTCTCCCACCAAGCCAATTCCCGACCTGGTCTCATGCTTGATCTTGCTCATACCTCCCTGGATCCACAGCATTCAGGAACTTCTCAAACTTGGGTTCAGGTTCACCCTCCTCAACCATGGGCAAGTAGTAATTGAGCCCTCTCAGGCACGACCGGAACTCTGTATGAGTCAAGCGCCCTGTCAGATTCTCATCAAAGTGTCTAAAGACCAAAAACATTTTATCAAACTCCAGATAGAGTCAGAATCAGATGAGAACAGAATAATTAAGTTTGTTGCATTAGACAGAGCTTTAATATCATGACATAAGATAGAAAACTGAGCAGAGTCTGTTTGTATCTTGCACTGTTTTTAAAATAATAGAGGAATAATATAAAGCACTGTGTATGAAAGACATGTATTACTTTCCAAGTCCAGGAACTTCAAAGATTATATTAAAATTCAAGACTAAAGCTCATTAACACACGTAGATCTACACACTAAATATCCTATCAAGCCACGCAGAGGGAGAAATCATTAGTTTTTTGTAAGCTTATTTTAAACTGCCTAGAAAACAAAGGACCTGCCAGCTAGGAAGTGATACTCACTTGTATGTGGTGCTAAACTCCTTCAGTGTCTCCTCACTCACACCTATGGTGTCCCTGGAAGGAAAAACATGAGTTAACCCCTACAAGAAATAGGAAACAGAAAAAATAATGCCATATGAAAGACAGAGAATTTTTTAAGTATTAAAATTTTTGAAAATTTCATACATGAGTATTTTATTTCCATTATTTCCACCCTCCCAGTTCCCCTCAAACACCTCCCATGTCCTCCCTCCCTCACAACTTCTTGTTCTTTCCTTTTTTATTGTTTACACACACACATACACACACACACACACACAAACATAATATGCTGAGTCTATTTAGTGGTACTCCTGTGTACATGTGTTCAGGGCTGCCCACTTGGGGTCAGGCAACCTATCAGGTAGAGAATTCATTGCTGAAGAAAACTGATTCTCCCCCCTCAGCATCCATTGATTCCCGGTAGCTCTTCATCTTCAGTTGGGACTCCATAAAATTTTCTGCACCCAAATTGGCACTATTCAGAGGAATTTAATGTATGTTTTTAATTTTATGTGTACGAATGTATTGCCTGCATGTATGTAAATGCACCCATGTCATGCAATGCCCATGGAGCCCAGAAAAAGGTGCCAGATTCCCCTGGAACTGAAGTTACAAACAGTTGTTAGCTACCATATGAGTGCTGGGAATTGAACCTGCGTCCTCTGCAAGAGTAGTCAGTATTCTTAACTGCTGAGCCACCTTTCCAGCCCTAAGACAGAGGAATTTTAATGTAAAACATACTTCTTGAGTCATCTATTTCAGAGGTTGGCAAACTATACTACATGAACCAAATCCACCCTGCTTACTTTTTTTTGACATAGTCCATGAGCCAAGAATGGTTTTTATATTTTTATATAGTTGGAATAATAAAACAAAAAGATATTTTATGAAATGTGAAAAATCACATGAAAATTCAAATTTCAGTGTCCACAAATAAAGTTTTATTGGAACACAGCCATGTTAATTGTTAAGAATTATCATATGGCTGCTTTCTACTACACTATCAGAATTGAAAAGCTACAAGAGAAATTTCATGGCTCAAAAGGTTTCATTATTAATAACATGGTCATTTACAGAAAAAAAGTTTGCCAATCTATAATCTAGATAAAATTACTTCCAAAGACTATTGAGACCTAAAGCTGTTATGATATGGTTAATTTATCCCAGAAAAATTAATTCCGAATCTTCTGTTCCATTAATCCATGTGTTAAAGACCTCTTCCATTCTAGATATTATGTTTTGAACAAATTTTGTAATAGCAGATGATTTCTGGAAAGATGACATAAGATATTAAATGGACTCTCAGAGCTGGAAAGAAGAGGCCTGAGGCTGGGTGAGTACACATACTCACCTATTTCATGGTAGACCCTCGTGTAAAGAAAAAGAGTTCACAGCAAAGAGAGAGAATGTTAGTGTGGTATATGAGTGAAGCAGCTCTTTTATCAGGTGCCCCAAATTCGAGTCTCTAGTTTAGCTCCTAAAATGTAGTGCTATCTGCTCCCCTTCCCATCCTGGATTTAAATCCTCAGTACTTGGCCTGGATTTGTTGTTCCAGATTGTGTTGCATCCTCATCCCCAGCTGGTGCAGCTGATCCCACTGCTGGGCCAGTCCAATAGTGCTGTATTTGATATCGAGGATCAGAGCCTCTTCCATGTTGTCCCCCAGATCCTCAATCTTGGTCAGCTGACGCTTCATTGCCTGGATCTCCTTCTGTTTCCTCTGGAAAAGAGGAGAGGAGATCTATCAAGCCACCAGCATCACACCTCAAATGGGGGAGAGGAGGTTGATGGGTTGAGTTCCCATGAGTTATTCCTTTTCAACTAGTTCCACGTCTTCTTACACTCTATGAAACTTGAACAGTTCATGAAAAGTATTTCACACTTGTAATCCTCTTTTATAAAATACTAAGAAGTTTTGGTAGATGACATCCTAGAACTCTTTCAAATATAAATTACATATAAAGAACAGGAGAATTTCCAGGACTCAGATGCCATCAGCTCCAGTGACTGCACTGCAAATTGTCTCCATTTTTGATTAGTGCAGAGCTATCTGGTTCATCTAAGCTTCTCAGTGTATCCATTACTAGCTTCCTTCATCAGCAGGGCACATGGGTATATGGGTACAGGTTATTTCTGATATCCAAGCACATTACATGACATTTTCTGCATCTTCCCCCTGATTTCCAACAAAGGGATATTGTGCATTGAGAAGCAGAAGCGGTTAAGTGGCTCTGACGATGTCAGGGAATGTATGAAAGAAACTTAGATGTTATGATGCAGGTCAAATCTGTCTGATAGCTTACTCTTTTCTCATTAGGGAAAATTATAGTTAACTAAATAGCTTTATTCTCACAGGAGACAAGAAGGAATATAAGGTGTAGAAACACTATTCTAACAAAACACTTCCCTCTGATGAAGGGAGATAATCTAGATTCAGTTATATCACTTGACCACATCAAGCAATAGAAATTTGTTGATGTTCCAGGTTAGAAGATAGTAACCTTTTACTTAATCATTTCAGAAACTCTTTAATGTATATATTAGCTGTATAGTATAGATGCAGAAACCAACATTCAGATATTTGACTAAACTGAGGCCCGTATTCATGTTGTGTTGGTCTATGATGACAGTGCAAATTGGTATCTGAGTAAGACTCTAGTCTTGGCTTCTTGACTTTAGGTAACCTTTATCCCAAATCAGCATCAGGATGTCTTTAAGTGTCTCTTGTGATTTTTATAATTCAGGCAACACCTTCAGTTGCCGAACAAACATTGCTTACTTTATTTGCTTCCAATTGGGATTCCAGAGTCCCTGTTTCTTTGAGCAAAGATCTAATTAAGAAATGAAAAGGAAGCATTATTAGTTACAGCAGAGGTCCATATTTCACACAGACACACTGACTCAAAGTCCCTGCACCCTTTGCTTCTGCTTCTCTCGTTTCATGACCTCTTTAAAATGAAGATTCAGGGGACTGGAGAGATGATTCAGCGGTTAAGAGCACAGCCTGCTCTAGCAGAAGAACCAGGTTTGAATCCCAGCATCTACATGGCAGCTAACAGCCATCAATAACTCCAGTTCCAGGGGATTTTACACCCTCTTCTGACCTCCATGGTTATTGCATGACACAGGTGCCCTTACATACACGCAGGCAATATACTCATATACATAAAATAATAATAAGTATTATAAAATAAAGATTCATAAAGCCAAATTTCTGTAACTAAGCCCTCTGTCTTTGGCAATCTTTCCAGATTGATGAGAAAGGAGGTAAGTTCTACCCTACTTCTTCTCTGCCTAGATGTAGGTACCACATGTTTTCCCTAGTTCTGTTGTAGGACAGGAATCCCACAGTATCCACAGAGATCGCGGTGCATATCTCTGTGAGGCTCCTTATATAAAGGCTCCTCTGCTGAGGCTCCTTATATAAAGTGGAACAGAATGTTCCCATGACCCACATACAATCTCCCATGTGCTTTTATTCATTTCTAAATGACTTATAATGCATCATACAATGTATATAGCTGTTAGGTTGTGTCTTTTAGAGAATAACAAAAAGAAGTGTTTATGTAGTCAGTATAGATAGTGTTTTTCTGAACATTTTCATTTCATGGTTGGTTGAATGCACAATTACAGACCTTGTGAGTAAGGAGGGCTGATACTATACCCCTAAGTAATACAGGAGAGGTAGCAGCTATTGGAGAACGGGGCTGGGATGATCTACAAAGAGTACACCTTACCTTTTTATTTAGAAACTATCAGATTGTAATGGGAAAATGAAGCCTTAGTACTAAGTCTCCTTAACTAATTATCTAAAACAATATAAGAAAATATAAATATATAAAATACTGACCCATCCAGAAAATA